TTTCAAAATTGTTTGAATCTATATTTAGATTAAGATAAAAATCGGACAGCAAAGTAAAAAGTTCCCTGTCTGGTATTTCTTTTGGAACTATTCCTTCTGGCTGAGAAAGAATTTGATCTGCTATATTTAGATAATAGTCACATACATATTCAAGCGAAGAGGCGGAACAACAATGACCCGCAACGATACACAGAGGCACATCGAACAGGTCGTCGAGATTACAGTCTCTTTTCGTCTCATGTTAGATTGTGGAGCACGATGGCATGAAATCATCATTATGTAACAGCATTCGATTCTCTAGTGTGGCGAGAGGACGGCAAGACAATGCACCATGTGGGCAAGAGTGGTATTAGATGGCATATCAGGAATCAAACAGCCCTGTCGTACTTCTATGCGGTCGTTTTCTCTTGCTATTCATGAGGGGAAAGTCCTCTCTTTCTCTCTCTCTCCTCGCCCGTGAGGCCAAATTCTTATGATGTCTTCTGTAATCAAAATTCTCTGCTTCGCTCAAACTGTAGTCGTTAGGATGCAAGGCAGTTAAATTTGAAACGAATCTTCACGTTGTAAGGAAAGAAAAATATTGAACTCTCTCTCTCTCTCTCTCTCTCTCTCTCTCTCTCTCGTTGTCTCTCTCTTTGGCTGTCTCGACATACACAGATAGATGCAGATAGACGCACACACTGAGACACAGACATGGATAGCAAATGATGACGTCCCCCCTCTCTCTCTCTCCTCTCCCTCCATTGCCGCTTCTCCTCGATGGATCTCCTCGTTGTCTCTAGTCGTCCCTCTCCATTATGGCCTCAAATCAGGCCATTCGTGAAAGAGAGCCGTGGTAAAAAATCATTCATTGATTCTGTTTCGGCCAACATATATCCTCACCCGATGCATGCTGACATGATGTTGATAAGGGCGGAGGAGACTGTTATTGTAAGGGAAGGGTGAATGCAAGGAGGTGATGCTTTCATGAGCGAAGGGACCTGGAAAGGATCTTGTTATAGTGCCCATTCTGTTTGTTTTTCCCCTCATGAGTCATGATACTTATCGTCCTCCTTCTGCCGGGGTAATAATGATCCTTGTCTTACACAGAAAAAAGAAGGAAAAAAAGACAGACCTCCTTTGCCCTCCCCGTCGCCTCATCGTCTTCCTCTTCCTGCTTCCTCGTGAGTGCCATCCCTCCTCCTCCTCTCCCCCCTGCTCGGCATTCAAAAAGTGAAAAAGCCCCCAAAAAATCAATGGACCTAGTTAACCTTCCCGTCTCCCCGTCTTTCCCTCATGATATTCCTCCTCCTCCTTCGTCGTCTGCTTCATCCTTCTTCGTCCTCGTGATGCCCAAAAAAACAAAATGACCAGCAGCATGCCGCCGGGACTTTCAGTTCCATGCACACTGGGCCAGTCGTTATATTGAGGACAACAGTCGTGATGAGAAAGAAGGCAGAGGAGCTCAGTGAAGTTGGCTCACCTGCGTTATCACTTGAAAGCGCCATATTTAAGGGCATCAGCAACAGTAAGTTCTCTCCTCACAGCCGTGAACCATTCGGCCAGCTCACTGCATGGGCAGCCCACCAGAATCTCTCTCTCTATCACTCAATGTCTTTTCACTGTTATTTTCCGCCTCCTCGATTGCATCTCTCTCTCTCTCTCTCTCTCTCTCTCTCTCTCTCTCTCTCTCTCTCTCCCTCCCTCTCTCTCTCTCTCTCTCCCTCTCCCTCTCTCTCTCTCTCTGTGCACTCGTGGTCTATGCGCAAATGGCAAATACCTGCCAACTACCAAAATGCGTGGTGGTGGACCTTTCCATGTTCGGAAGGTTCATTGCGTGGGTGGCGGAGCCAACTATGTATTCGGGGCTGCTATGCGCTTGTATTGAAACATCTGCCGTGCCAGTTGCTATGCACTTGTGTTGAAACATCTGCCGCGCCGGTATCGTTTGATATTCTGGTGGGAGATTCATTTGAAAACCGGTGGAGCCAACTATGTGTCATGGGGCTACTATGTACTTGTATTCAAACATCTCCCACCCACAGAACGCAAGCGGCCTTAACACCCAGACCAAAACCAAAAAGAAGGCGCCAGTGACTGAAACGTCCAGGCTAAGCAGGGAACGCTGGATGGCCCTTGACAGCATGGTGTCGGGAATGGGAAAAAAAGCCTCCCTGCCTAAGAACTCCATGGAGCACCGCGTGTCCCCTCGGACTACTGTGCAGGACCGGATTTTGGCTGGGCCTGGGACCGGGCTTTCAATTTAGTAGTTTGTTGATTATGTTGGAATGTCTGGCAACCACCAGTAGGTGCTATCTTTGTCTTGTTAGCCTAGTCTCCACCCCTTCCGACGGGCTGTGGCTGGTGGCGATGTAATTACATTTTCTTTTGTCTTCTTTTTTTAATTTGGACCATTGCTTGAGTCATGCGTGTCATCCTTCTGCAGGGGCTATGCCAATCTTCTCTGAATCATTCCAATTTTAACAGATGTCCTGAAGGACGGGGTAATGTAATTACGACCTCTTGCAGGATGCCAGAAAGGGAGGGACTAGCATTTGTTGGAAGTCGCAGCGTTCCGTGCAGCAGGATGGTGCTGGCATATTTTTAGTTGGGAATTGAGGGACCTAGCTTCATACTTACCCTTTGCTTCGGGCAGGAATCGTTTCAAGCAGTGGCAGCAAGACGGGTAAAGAGGTAGGCAGGTAATCACAGGAAAATAAGTATAGAGAATCAGGGCATAGGAAATTATATTTAGTAATGGCTGTGGTTTCCTCATGATGGCACTGTTCATTTGCATAAAGATGGTCGAACGGGCGCATTTTGATCTTGGATGGTCAGGAACAAGTGTTTGGTGTGCACTCTGGCGGTGAAGCCTTAGCAATAGATGGCTTCGGGTTTTAGGCTGTTACTGAACGCCGGGCTTGCCTGTCCCTCCCTTCTAAGACCAATCTCTATTTCCATACCGAAGATAGCTGCTGTCATCTCTACTCCCCGCAGATACTCCCTGCTATCTTTGTGACCTTTCAGGCAAACTCCCCATGTCCTTTACTGTAACTGAAGCTTGACAAGTCTTTTCTACGTATGTACTCCAGAGGCACGGGCTTGGATCTTTCACACCAACTCTCTGTATTCTTTATTGTGTACTTCAACCATTACAAGTACCAATCTCTCTCATGCACTGTTTCAAGGCATCTGTAAAGTTTTCTGTGAATTCGATTGCACTTCTGGTTGGATGAGGTTATCATTAGAGTTCAACTAGTTATCTGACTATTGTTCGTGACTATGTCAAACTTCTTTTCAGAGCTTCACTGGTTGTGATTCATCCACTGCTTGGTCTTCGGCGGACTGTATGGTTTACTGCTTGCTCTTTGACAGACTGCACTGTTTGTACTTCATCCGTACTAAGCTGTGGATGACAGGCGGTTGATATAGTGAGTGGGCTCTTTTGTGGCTCTTATTTTGAATAGAGTTCCACAAGATAAGAGTTGGTGCTTGGGTCAACAGATGTTTGGCAGGAAGGAGTGGAAATTGCTAACTTGAGGACATCCTGTCACGTTGGATGACTTTGCTGTGGAATGAACTGTGTGGCTTGTCTAATTGTGCTCTGGCAGGTCAGTCGCAACCTCCGTGCCACTTATCAATGTTCTTGGAGGTGACAGATCCCCGAAGCACAAACGCTGATTGGAGTTGTTTTGTCAGTCATCGGTTGTCTGTTGTGAATCAACGCTTTGAGGACCGATCTGTTACAAAAGAGTCGCAGAATAGGTACTCGAAAGCAGCCAAAGACTGGGGTTGGCGGGAGTTTGTAACGTTGACCAGCCTGTTTGACCAGGACTCGGGATTCCTTGTGGCGGACACTGTGGTTTTCTCGGCGGAGGTATTGATTCTTAAGGAGACATCGACGATGCTGGAGTGTCCAGAAGGCTGGGAGGGGTCCCCTGCTGTTGCAGCAAATGCCGTGCTTGCAGCAACAGCTGCTTCGGGAACAAGTGTCGCTGTCGTTGGGACACCAGTTGTTGGTGGTTGTGAAGTTGGGAGAATCTCCAATGGGGGTACATTCACATGGCGTGTGGAGAACTTCCTTGCATTTAAGGACATCATGGAGACTCGAAAAATCTTCAGCAAGTTCTTCCAGGCTGGAAACTGCGAATTGAGGATAGGTGAGCCACAGTACCCTACCTCATCTGTGCTTCATGTTGTCTGTGGGCTTGTCATTGAAGTTTGTATTACCCTGTGTTGACGGAGCGGTGCGTGAGAATTTGTGATGCACAGGCTTGGAGCAATTATCCACACTTTCTTAGTGATGAGATGGCAAATATGCTTACAAGATTCTGTTGGTTCTGAGTCATGTCTTCATGATGTTGTTCTTGTTGTTCTCCCAATCCTGTCTGTCTTGGTTTCTATGCACTTGGGTTACCTGTCATGTGTTCTGTGTTCCTATGCAGCGATGATTGCATTGTGGTGGCAGTCCTGTAAGTTTGAACTGTTATAAGGCTTGAAGTACTCAGAATGATCGTCAAAAAGCAGAAATTGTCGTAACTGTTGATACCTCTGCGTGGCCACTTCGACCCTCTGGTCTGTCAGGCTCGTCAGTATGTACTAGTCTGTGGAGGTGCTATGGTCGAGTGCGGGTCGTTTCCTGTCACTATGGCACCTGTACAAGAGTCCACACAGAGCGAGCTCAGATAAGACTGCTCGGGGGTTATTTCGAGCGGAGAGGTTAAGAAGCAAAGAACACTGCCCATAGCGAAGGATGGGGAAAGACGTACAGTCATTTTCCACTTGTAGGATATGTGCGAGGCTTATGTTCCTATGAGCCCCTTTCAGGCCCTGCCGAGTATCATGTCGGCTGCCCTAAGTGAAGGCAGGCACGACGAGGGCCTGAGGGCCCCTATTTCGGTCACCACTCAACTCAAGGAAATTCAGGCAGTTGCGCTTCGCCAGTTGGTTGGAAGAACTCACGCCCTGGGCAGCCTGTTTGAATGTATCGAAGGCAGGCCCTGGGCTGGATACGGGATGTGGGCCTAACACAGGCCGTTGACAGTAGGGCGCGAGCAACCACTACAGGCCCAGGGCCTGAGTTGTGTGGACTGGGCCTCAGCCTACCTCGGAAGCTTCTTGGGAAAGGCCCATTGCAGCATGGGACAGCAAACAGGCAGGCCACTTCCATATAGCAAAGGGCCTGCCTCCGCATTTGGCATTCGGTGCTGGCTGCATGCTGCGCAAGCGCTGCTGCGCTGAAGCTGGCTGGCACTCACGCGCTCACGGGCGAGCAGGAAGGAGCAGGCAGCCATAGCCGAGCTGCGCTGCTGTGAGCTGGGTGAAGCACAGGGTAGTCCTTGGGTGCAAGTGGCATCTGTGTGTTGGGGAATGAGGTTGTGAGTGAGGTGAGAGACATACCTGGTGCTGGAAACGTGCGACATTGGTCGCTGTATGCTAGTACTTCGGGAAAGCTGTTGACGTCATCTTCGGCATTGTAGTCTAGGCTAGATAGGATCTGCCATCTGTAGTCTGGGTGCCGAGCACCAGATAGGATATCAACATTGGTTCTTCAGTGATGATGATGATGAGACAATTTCAGCATTGTCAATTATGAGCTCTTGGTGTGTTCTTATTTGGTGAAACTCGTGATGCAATTCTGCGGTTGGTTCGAGGTCACGACTATCTGGTCTTATGTGTATGATGCTGTTTGATTGCTGAAGTTCGCTATTTCTCATCTTCCTTGCATATGGGATGATACACCGAAAATTAGCTCGACCCCTGACGGATGATGACAACCACTCAACTGGCAGATGGCTCACACAGTGAGTTATTTCCCAGGAAAAGGGGTAGCAGTGCAACTCTGTCCTCTCCGTGTCGTCTTCACCGAACTTGCTTGTGCAGACGAGTGCATGTGTGCTGACAAGTGGGAAGTGTCATTTCTAAGCAGGAGCACACGTTGGATATCGTTCATCTTCTCAAGATGTAGCTGACTACACTCTGTTGCTATTCTGTAATGATGACCGAACATCAGGGATGATATCAGTTCGTATTTTTCAAGGATTTTGGAACAGAGCGGCTCTCCTCAGGCTTTTAATTGAGTGCCAACCATGAACGTTTGGTTTTAGAAATGCAACTTTGGCAGTTCCTCGTGGCTTGGTGTGAATGGTTCGTAGTATGTAGCCAGGTGGCTGAGAAGGACTGCATGAAAGTAGTGCAAGAATACATGCTTTGTCTCATGCACGGAAAGCATGGAAGGCCCTTTTGGTTGGACTAGCTGAGCAGGACACTCTAAAGGCTCCGTCGGGCTGATGTGCAGTGGCGAAAGACTGTGCTGGGCTGATGTGCAGTGGCTGGGCTTAAAGCACAGCACAATGAGTCCAGAGGGAACTCGGCTTATGACAAGGGCTTGCCAGCATAGGGTAGCACATGCATCGTATCTTGTGGACAGTGTGTAACACAAGATTCCGGGGCAAACACAAACTGTGCATCACAGGGGAAAGAAAGAGCAACTTGTTGATAGCTAGTTGATAGCCAATCCATGGAAATGGATCGTCCTTCGTATATATATACTCCTGATGAGTCGGTGAAACTCCTACGAAACAGTTTGCCACAGCCCCTCGTTTGTTGTCCTCTTGTCCCTCTCTGCCTACGGTTTACCGGGCAGCTCTGTTTGACTACAGCTCCGTTTGACTATATATATATATTTTAAATCACTGATGCTCCGGTCTATTGGCGTGGACCTGCACCTGCTGGGAAACAGGTCTGGCGTCCCAAAGCTAAAATAATAATGTAATGTTTGGCGCATATCTGTCCTGCCGTGCAACGTACCTCTCTGAGGTGGTAGAACTGCCAGATACACTGCAAAGTACTTTGCTATCAGACCACCATTACATCTGAGCCTCGTTTTTCTGATGTAGATTTTTGCCGTGCGCCAATTCCAGCCGAACTGGCACAGTGCCTGATATGCCTGGTTCTTGACATTCCTCCCAGCATGTGTCGTAACGTCCTTTCAACTGTTTGTTTTGAGCTTTTCCCTTTTTTCTGGTTCATAGGCAAATTCAACAAGTGAAAAATAATGGAAAAGTTTTCATACTCCAAGACTTGTATACATTTGGAGTTCTTACTGCCCAGAAGCGAAGATGTCAGTCCCAAGTTGTGGCTCCTAAGTGGCATTGGAGTCATGCAGACAGTCTCGGGAAGGGCCAGTGGAAGGGCCCAAGGGTTTCCGTCTTAGAGACTTCCTAAGTTTTCAATCACAAGCTTTCTTTGGAACCTTGTGATTGCTGAATCGCTCTCTTCCTTTGGAGCCTCCTGGTCACTCGGCTCTTCTGAAGTCGCCATGCAATATGAGCACTATTTCCACATAGTTAAAACTTTGGCAAGTATCTCAAATCACTTCCTTCAACCGCTCTGGTACGGCAAAGTGGTTTTGTGTCCATCTATTCTCCTGACAAGTGTTTCCAAGCTACCATGCATTGTGGTGGCATGCAAGGTTCCGATTTGCTGTAGCACAAGACTAAGGAGACAAAATGTGGATTAGTGAGCACTTGGATCACTGGTCTCTGTGCTTGGTGTGTGGCAATAACGAACGTTGACATGCGGCAACCATGCTTAAGTTGTTTTCACACTTTTTGTGAACCGACACACCTCTCTACCTCCCTCTACATTTCTTCCTCTCTATGCAACCTCCATGTACATCTCCTTTTACACCTTCATTCTTGCTCCCGATTTCCTCTCTTACCCTCAGATTCCTTTCTTGCCCTTTGCTAACCTTGTCCGCCTTCTTCCAGCGCCCATGCAATCCTTCCTCCACATCTTTCTGATCCTTTGCCTTTCCGTTTAACTGCTGTTTCTCTGCCGTGTCGCAACATCTCTTCTCAACTCTGAACCTCTCCCAGCTTCTACTTGTCTTCGGGAAAGCTCCTGTTCTGCCTCTTTCTCTGGCAATTTAGTCCAGCCCGATTCCTTTTCTGAACCTTATCTTTCTTGGACCCTCCCTCGCAACCGCCTTGGTACTCTTTCCTAGAGCAGTCTTAGAAACTTTGGGGGAAGCTTCACTGAATTATGTGGGAGTATTGCAGAACCTGGAGAGGGCTGGCCCATACTGTTCCCAAACATCACCCAGAGACAACGTTAGCACCCCCCACTAGTTTTAACATCATGTTAAAACTCTATTTCTCTCTCTGGATCTTCACCTATATCGTTTGGTTCGAATGCCCATGCCTGCATACAGCCCGCAGGATAAACTGCTCGGTACACAAGCAGGATGCAACCGTGGGAGGTCAAGCTTCTTCACTGAAGCCAGATACAACCTTGGAACTCGTGCTGTCTCACTCTTGTCAGGCTGCTGTCTGTAGTAGCAGCCACGGTGAATTTTCTCCTCTAGTAGCAGAACTTCTAGGTTTTTCCAAATTGCCAATCAGGCGTGGACAGTGCCCTCTTTTTTCTTTTTTTGCCCTCTTGTGGTAGTGGTTCCTGGAACATTCCAATGCTTGGAGGTTGCCTTACGTAGCTGCATTATAAAGCTGGTATGCCCAGCTGTCCATCCTACAGATTATCTGTTACGAACAGGTTGCTTTTCCTAGAGAGTGATAGACAATGGTGCCTCCCATGTTGTGACAGTGCAATGAACCGGATCTGAAGAGAAACTCGTTAATGTCGGAACACAGAATGTCTCAGCGCAGTTTCAATGCCTCCAAAATCGTACATATAGTCAGGTAGCCCAACGTCTGGTCACCAGAGAAGAAGATGGTGGAAGGGAGATAAGACTTAGAAGGTGGAAGAGAAAGTACCCATCAACATAGCAGATAGATCTCCCTCACAATCCCACTTCCTCTTTGGGCATCTCCCTCTCCCCACATCAGCAGACAGTCCCCTCTGACACACTCTGACAATGAGCTGATCCCATCATGGGGCTTGTCAGCGCAGACACCTTATGGAGCGGACACTGGACAGCAGTGCGCAATGTCACCATGAACACGAACGGGTAAAGCTTCCTCGACATTGATCAGTCTCACAGCCCTGATCCTTGTCCTCCTCGCCAGTACCCGGCCAATGTCATAAACAGTGTGGCGAGAGCCACGTCAGCATATTCAAGTATCCAGCTGGCGCCAAAGACAGAGAATGGTGCTAGCATACAGCAATAGTAGTCCTGCGTCGTCGCATCAGCGTCCAGCCAGCGTAGTGCCAGCGTCAAGACAGCGTCCAGCCAGCGTCAATCTAGCATCCAGCCAGCATTAAGCCAGCGTCAAGCAGCATGTGCAAGACTGAATGTGGGTCAGCAGGGGCTGGGTCAACTTGTAGTGTCGACTCCGGTTGACCAGCCTCTGGTCTCTCAGATACGATGGCCCATATTGTCTCGCAGCCAATGGCCTGGACCCCGTACGGTTGCAGATTCCCACTTGGACTTTATTCCTTACAGATACCTGCAAACAGCCAAGGGTGTGTGTCTGATCGACGGCCTGGACTGGGTCCATGTTGACTTTGACTCGTGGGCTTGAATTTCTGTGCTGCTGTTGACCTTTGACTTTCCATGGTCAACTGTTGCACGTTGGGCCTCGGAAATCCAGTTTTAGGCCTTGCTTCGGGTACCCCACAGTAGCAGGCAGTTTACATGACTTGGGCGTGGCCTTTGACCCCTATCTCGACCCTTTGACCAAAATGACGACCCACAGCCCACGACTAATGCATGGTTTGAGGTGAGTTATTGCAACAGCTTCAGAAGTAAGGTTTTGGTTTGCTGGTGTACCTGCCTGTTTCTGCTTGTCCCGTCAACTTGCTCTCAGGCTTCTTGTGAGGTTAGACCTGGTTGCGTAGTGGGGGGCAGCCCTGCAATGCTACACTGTAAAGAACCGGCGTTGCACCATAAAGTTTGATATGATCATTTGATGGCCTTCGCACGAGACTTGCTCATCTGGCCACCCATGTCATTCCTCACTGCAGTGGTCTCTAGACTGCCTAATGACACTCGCAGGTTCAAAGCTGTTCTTTGCTAAGCCCCCACTGTTTCCTTCTGCTAAAGTCGTCATCGTGAAGGATAGAGAATTCGAGGCTGAGGTAACAAGCTGTCCTCCATTTAATGTTTGCTTTTGGCATTGAGGTCACGGATCCTGGCATGTTGTGGTGCTGTCTGGTCCTATACTTTTGTTTGCGTTAAGGGTCAAGGGTTTGATGGCTAAGTTCACGTATGCATGCTCCACGTAGGTTATCGAACTTTTGTTTAGGGATTGGCGTGGTGTCTGGGTGTCGAAGTCGCTGGATGACTGATATTTATTATATCTGGTGGTGGTTTGTGCAACCTTTGCATGGGTGGAAACAGGAGTGTACGAGTCATTTGACACACTGTGCATCTACTTGGAGAGTGACTGCTCAACATCGAACGATCTTGACAGGAACTTTTGGGTGCACTACCGGATTGCGGTCGTCAACCAGAAATATGCGGATCGAACGGTGTGGAAGGAGTCGTCTATCTGCACGAAGACATGGAACAACTCTGTCCTGCAGTTCATGAAGGTGTCTGATATGCTCGAAGTGGATGCGGGCTTCCTGGTTCGAGATACTGTTGTTTTCATTTGTGAGGTGCTCGATGTCTGTCCATGGTTTGACTTCGCAGATTTGGAGGTAAGTTAAGACTGCCCTTCCCAAACTTGTGCATGATACCCTCATTTGATGTCACATTTACAGGAGAAGTGGTTATCGGAGACCAAAGTTTTCAGGGTTTTCTCATGGTCTTTATGACAAAACTCCCACATCTTTCGAACTGAACTTGTCATCAATCGACAGAGAGGACAATAAATAAACCAACAGCAAAAAACAAAAGTGAAAAAGAAATCAAAGAAGCCAAAAACCCTCCTTAAAAATGTGTTTTCATGCAAAAATTCAGCCTTTGCAGTTTTTCTCTGGGTTAGGTCGACGCCCGGTCCAGATGGACTGGGCCAGACGGACTTGGGGGGGGGTCCGTCCGGCAAAACCGGATGAGCCAAAAAACATGCCATTATTTTTTTTTGAAGATGGGGTTGGACTATGCTCGCTGAGAGGAGCCCGAATCCGCAGAGTAACTTGTGAAAGGCATGTGTGTTGGGGGAGGGGGGGGGGGGGGGGGGGGGGGGGGGGGGGGGGGGGGGGGGGGGGGGGTGACAAGGGGGTTAAAGGGTGTGTTGAAGCAGCCAATCCGCTGAGGGGAGGGGTTAGAGGAGGAGGAGGAAGAAGAATACGCCACTTCCTTTCTTTTCTCGTCCTTCCAAACCCGCCACTCCCCCTGACGCCGCCGCTGCCACTGCCCGCCATACTGTCATGGAAGTAGAGGATGAAGGACCAACGGCTAGGGGAAAAAGAAAGTAAAAATATCGGAGGAAGAAGAAGAAGAAGAAGAAGAAGAAGAAGTCTGTGCGGTTGTGAATGGAGCTGCTGTCTGCCCGCCTACGTCCTTTTTTTGGGGCAGGAAAATAAAAATAAAAATGAACGGGAGATAGCAGGCAGTAGGATATGGTGGGTGGTGCAATATGGCTGGCGGATGTGCGAGATGGTGGGCGGTAAGATATGGAGGTGGAGGAGGACGAGGAGGACGAGGAGGGAAGAAGAAGACAAAAGGAGGAGGATGAGGAGGGAAGAAGAAGACGGAATGAGGAGGAGGAAGACGAAGAGGAGGGAAAGGAGGAGGAGCAGGAGAGAAGAACAAGGAGGAGGAAGAGGAGGAGGAGGAGGAGGAAGAACAAGAAAGGAGGACTAAGAAGATGAAAGGAGGACGAGGAGGTGACGACGAAGAAGAAGAAGATGAGAGGAGGGGGAGGAAGGAGGAGGAGAGGAAAGGAGGAGGAGAAAACAGATGGAGGAGGAGGAGGAGAAAACAGATGGAGGAGGACGAGGAGAGAAGGACAAGACAAGGAGGAGGAGGAGAGAAGGACAAGACAAGGAGGAGGAGAGAAGAAGATGAGAGGAGGAGGAGGAGGAGAGAAGAAGAAGAAGATGGGAGGAGGAGGAGAGAAGAAGAAGACGAGAGGAGGATGATGAGGAGGAGAGAAGGACAAGACAAGGAGGAGGAGGAGGAGGAGAAGAAGACGGGAGGAGGAGGAGGAGAGAAGAAGAAGAAGACGAGAGGAGGAGGAGGAGAGTAGAAGAAGAAGAAGAAGACGGAGGAGGAGGAGGAGGAGTAGAGAAGGAGAAGACGAAAGGAGGAGGAGGAGAGGAGAAGAAGAAGACGAGAGGACGAGGAGGAGGAGCATGAGGAGGGAGACATGGGGATGACGAAAAACAAAAAGGAAAAGAGGATGATGGAGGAGGAGAGAAGAAGACGAAAGGAGGAGGAGGACGAGGGGAGGAGGAGGAGGAGAAAGGACGAGGATGAGGAGGACGAGGAGGAGAGAAGAAGATGAAAGGAGGAGGAGGAGAGAAGAAAGGAGGAGATGAGGAGGAGGAAGAGGAGGAGGAGGAGGAGGAGGAGAAGAAAGGTGGAGGACGAGGAGGAGAAGAAAAGAGGAGGAGAGAAGAAGCCTAAAAGAGGAGGAGGAGGAGAGAAGAAGCCGAAAAGAGGAGGAGAGAATAAGCCGAAAGGAGGAGGAGGAGAGACGAAGATGAAAGGAGGAGGAGGAGGAGACGAAGATGGAAGGAGGAGGAAAGGAGGAAAGGAGGAGGAGAGGAGGAGAGGAGGAAAGGAGGAGGAGGAGGAGGAGGAGGAGGAGAGGAAGAACAAGAAGACGAATGAAAGAGGTGGCTGTGGCTTCACCACGATGGCGACAACAGCTTCACGGTCAGCGGGGAGGGTCTCAACAGGGAGCAAGGATGAGCAGGTCGACGAAGATGGGCAGCTCGACGAGGAGCAGCGACGACGGGCGTGCTTCGCGACGGCAGTGACGACGGGTGGTTTGGCAATGGCAGGGCTTCACAGCGGGGAATACCGCATTCGAATTCGAACGCGGCGTCTTAGCCTGCCAGAGGGGGAACCCATTTCTTGGCGGCTGATCTTTGCAGATCGGCGACTGGGATCAGTCGCCGAAGAAGACCTTCCCCCCCCCTCCTCTCTAAAACTAGCCGTAAATCAAAAACAAGAAAAGACTTGTGTTGCTGGAGGCTGGGGAGGCGACCGCTAGCCGAAAAAGGCCTCCGGGAGACCCGACCGGCTGGGCCGCCCGGGACCCCTGCCGGACGAAGGCCAGGCCACCGGACGGTCTGGAGTTTAACACAGATTTTTCTAACTTCTTCAGGATTTTCAGGGTTTTCAGGGCTTGCCAAAACAGTCATCTCCTAGGGTCAAACAAACACCAAACTTGGGGCTCACAAACTCAGACTGCAAACAAACAAAAAGAATCCCCAAATGTCGTTTTGAGCGCTCTGGGGTTTAACATATGGGCTGAAAAGTGGGGGTTCCTGTTGACCGCTTGTGATTTACAGCTTATCCTCTCTGACTGTGTTACTTTCCGTTCTTCTCCCTCTGTCTCTGGTCCCACCCTGTCTGTTTCCCCCCGCTGGCAACCGGGTTGGTCTGGTTTACCACATTTTGCATGAATTGTACGTGGACATACCGAAATTCAGATATTGTGTGTGCGCTCATATGAAAAGGGAGTTGTGATACGTAGTGTTCTAGTGTTCTGTAGTGTTCTGTAGGACCAGCAAAGCGATGAACCACATCTGCACAGACTTCACATGTGTGCATACATGAGGTACTGTGGGAAAAGCAGTGATGTGTAGATACTCGTGCAGCAAATCCAGTAAAGGGGTATTTCATTACGTACGCTATACACAAGCAATGCTGCAAAAGTCGAGGAGGAAGATACTGTAAGTCCATAAGTTCTACGGTGATCTCTTAGAAAGTCCCGACCGGGACGGACCTCATTCACGTAGCACAAGATAGCGAAGCAGAATGCTAGAATGCCGAACGCAGACCAAACATACATCATGTCCATCACAAGTTTTGAAGGAGCCTGGCGCTATACACAGGAAAGAGGTGCCAGGTCCAGGCATACACAAACGAAGAGGAGAGGATCAGACGAGAAGAGGAAGGGGGAGATGGGAAAGTCGTCAACACCAAGTCTCGCTTCAAGTCCCAAATAATCCGTCTTCGATATGTCTGAAGTCTAATGTCGAGTCTGGATCCAAATGT